AAAAAAAAAAAAAAAAAACCATGCATTTTTAAATTATTATTTTTTATTTCAAAAAATATATGTGGTGAATATTAAATGAATAAATATTTTTTTCGTACTTAGTACTACGAGCGTAAATTAAAATTTGTGCATGTTGCATGTTTAATGCACCCGAATCCTTTAGATCAGGACCAGATAGTAACGTGATTAAATGGGACTTCTGGTCAGAAGTCAACTATTCAGCTATATGTAGACTACCTCCTATTTTTAATATATGTCGTTTTGAGAAATTGCACGTTAATTAAGAATATTTTTTTTGTCAATAATAACCTTATTTAATGAAGATAGAAATGAATGTTTTGAGAAAAAAATGAAGAGTGAATATGAAAAGACGTAATGCATTTATTAGCTGGATGAGGGTATTAATGGAAAAATATGTAGAAAAGATCCAAAACGACACTACATTTAAAAAAGTTAGAAGGGAGTATTAATTAATTTAATTGCCCTCTTTAATTTTTAATTAAGGCATTAAATTAAGTACCTCAAACTAGGTACTCTTGCCTTGATCTTAAGGCAGACACTATATTTTTGCTATGAAGTCATCGGATGGCTCGCCTTATGAAGTCATTCATAGTTATTTATAAATGGTGTATTGACATGTGTTCTGCAATAAATACACTTCAAACATGTGTCAATACATTAAATAATGGATGGCTCTATAAAAAAACAATCTATGACTCCATAGAATTTCTGTAATATACAAATGCAAGATTATGATTCTATCTTTTTTTTTTTTATTATTATTTAGAAACGTAATACATTATGGACAGCTAATAAAATTATGAAAGGGCATATGATGAAAGTCAAATTCGTCTAGAAACAAAATTTAATTAAATACTTTATGTGAATCAAATAATATAATATATAAGCTACTTTGGGAGGAAGTTATATATATATATATATATATATATATATATATCCTCCCTATATGTTAATTCAAAACGTGTTGAGTCTAGGTGGCAGATTCTCATGCTTTCGTGATGTTGTTTTTATATATTTTTGCTTTGGAATTAAGTTTAGTATTAGACATAAATAACTTTATACATATCATTAACTTAATCACCATGTTGTACATGGGTATTAATACTAGTATATATAGTAAAAAGAAAGTAACGTGTTGCTTATGAAGTGGATCTCAATAATTCAACTTGTAGTAAAATACTTAACAAAAATGTTATTTTTATTTTTTCAATCAGAAATTTAGCTGAAAATAATACAGTGGAGTAATACATTAATGGCCATAATTATTTTCTAAGAATGAAATAATAAAATGTCAACTTATTAATAAATATGTAAGGAGTTGTTCTTGATATAATAATAATAATGTGCCCACAATTTATTTGCACAAAATTTTCACTACAAATATTTCGAATGAAAAATAGATAAAAATAAAAATACAACAGAAGGGAAAAACTCTAATAAATCATCGTTCATAGTGTTAATTAACAACGTTCCCTTTTAGAAGATAACACATTGTGAAGTATATAAACGAGCCAAGCAATGATATCCTAATTTTCTCACATAGTCATATACTAGTTGGCTAATGGCTGTGCACGCACAGCCGGCTCTAGTCCAGTCTATAATTATAACCAATATTTGTCAATATTACACACGCATTTTTTTTTTGCCAAGTATAAATGTAAGAAGAAATAAACACAATCGGCTCAAATTTAGTCTATAATCGACTTAAAAAAACCACGTGGCACCCTTTATCGCCCCTTTTCTTCGTAACGAAGATCAGGCGAAGACATACCTTTCTCAAAATTGAAACGTGTGGATAAACAAATGACGAAAAGGAAAACGAAAAATGAAAGGCTAAGCTTCATCATTATTGATTTCAATACAATCAAATGACGTCTAGTTTATCTATATTGAGTAATGAGTAATGGTCCCCTACCCACGGTGGGCACATTTTAAAATGTCCACCGCTTATGTGGCATTCACACATTGGTGATGTATTTTTTTGAACATATTAACATCACCAATGTGTGCATGCCACATAAGCAGTTGACATATTAACATGTGCCCACCGTGGGTAGGTGAGCATTATCTCATGCCTTTAACTTTATCAAACGCCAAATACTTTGAGGGAAATCCCTTCATTTGAATACCAAGAAGAGTACAAATCACTTGCATATACAACTGTTGTAAAAGAGAATCAACCCATTCATCCAAATAAATCAAATGTACACCTCTTTCAATCCATTAGTTCTAAAATGACTTGAGCATTGACAAAGGTGAAAATCTGAAAAAGGTTAGAAACCACCATCTCCACTCACAACACTCCAAAGATCAATGCTGCAAGTTTCTCATAGATATTTACCCCAATCCAATCCCAAATTCATTGACCCATTTCTTAGGTAGAATCTAAATGGCTACCTCCACATAACATACAGCAAAACAGAAAATAATTTTGAAGTGCATCCGCAACTAAATGAATGGAACACATCACAAAGAACACAAGCAAACAAGAACAAAAAAGGTTGTGGATGAAGATAAGGTTACCGCTTGGAGAAGGCAGCGTCGTTGGTGGTCACAGCGATTTTGGTCTTGTCCTTGGCGACGGTAACAGTGTCCCCAAGCGCTCCCGGCTTGCTTCCGACCTTGATGTGCTCCTGAAAGAACTTTTCTAGTGAGGCTGTATCTATGATCTTATCCTCCACCGGCTTCCCGTAGTCAATCACGAATGTCGGGCGCCTTATTCTTCCTACCATTCTAGGCCCCACCGCGAGTGGCTCCTCCTTTGCTCATGCCTGCGATTCCAAAGAGAGTTTTTATATCGGGGTTCGGTTTTGGATTCTTACAAAGTTGATGTTGCCAATTGAAACTGTAAAACTCAAGTAGCAAGCATATCAATTAAATAAAATTTGGCTGTAAGTATGACATAAACGATCGAATCAAAATCTCGCCCTAACTTATTTGCTTCTTCAGCATATCACCTTTGGTTGATTAGTGTTCTCATCTTGAGTTCTTCAAGGTAGAAAACTGAAGCTTATCACGAAACAGGAAATTTGCCTCGATTAATTTCTTTAACTCGACAAGCATTATAGCTCTAGTTGTCTTAGTATCACCGTATTTAGATAGCTGGTCACTTTACCTGACATGAAGAGTTTTCTAATCATAAGAACGATAATCGTGAATGTTGAAGAAAAAAGAAGCTGTGAATATCCGTTTATTTGTCAGAAGCCAAATCCAGAAGATAATCGTGAATACTTAGGAATTAATTTCATAATATTACCTTTGACTGGTTCGAAGCCCAGTAAATAGGTCTCTTCTCTTAGTTGGCAGAATAACCATTTTCATTAAAGCTTGTTTTGCCGTCTCCAGACCAGCTGCAGGAAAACTTTCAATAGCAATTTTATAAAAAGAAAAGAAAAGCTCCAATGAGGAAGTGAGAGTTGCTAACCAATATCATCCCATTTAACTGAAGGGCTTTGGTCAAGTATCACAGAGTTTATCATCTCAACCAGTTTAGCATCATAGCCACCACCAGTTGTTGCTATATGCCTTGATGTCCCTGCATTATTAGCCTGACTTTTCACTATAGGACCACTGGTCTGGCCAGAAGGCCTTTATAATGCCATTTTTCTTGGATGTGAAATTGTAGATGAAACTGCCCCAGTTTGTGACTTAGAGGAAGTGCTCTATGAAATATAGATTGAAATAAAAGAAAAAGATTGATGAGGTAATGACCAAGTGGGAAGAGTCCATTACATTTTCCATAGAGTGTAGAGCAAAAACATGAAGAAAGGAACCTCTTCCCTCACACCTTGATGAAGAGAATAACCATAATAAATTTTAACTAACTTTTCCTACTTTCATAAGCAAAAAACAATTATATGAAACTCAACCATCAAGCAAAATTACTCTTTTTTCAGCACAACCTGTTAATTAGAAGAAATATATAAGATGGTAAAGCAAAATCCTTAAACACAAAAAAAACCCACTCAGTAATCCAATAGTGTCTAAAATTAAATCCACCAAAAGAACCATCCAAATATCAATGTATTTCACAAAATCACTGTAAGAGATTCACATACTAATTTACATAAGCGACATCTCAATCAAGAAAAAGAATTTAAATTATTTTGACCTTAGAAATGGTTTAAAAA